ACCAGAACCGCGCTTTGGACCAGCACACCGCATATGTCCCCTCGAAGTGGAGAGTCCTGTGAATGTGGGGGTATATGATATGTGATGGTCCAAACTTTATTTTGGGGTTCAGAGCTTTCCAACTCACTCTCTCTAGTGTTTCTGAATGACTACACGAATACGAATAAGTAACGAATAAGGAATGAATAAGGAAGTGCGAATAAGGAACCAACTTCAGCCTCCTCAGTGATAAGGCAAATTACTGACAAGTCAGCTGATTTGTTCTAAAGGAAACACAACCACACTGTTTTGTGTACTGCCCTTTAATTCTTCTTCAGAACACCATCCGAGAACAGTGATGGTGGCCATCACTTTTTAAAGAGCCCCTCCCGAGAGCCAGAATGACCTCTTGCATGTGATGTCCGAGCAGCGTTGCCGCTCGGACATCACACGCGAGAATAAGGAATGAATAAGGAAGTGCGAATAAGGAACCAACTTCAGCCTCCTCAGTGATAAGGCAAATTACTGACAAGTCAGCTGATTTGTTCTAAAGGAAACACAACCACACTGTTTTGTGTACTGCCCTTTAATTCTTCTTCAGAACACCATCCGAGAACAGTGATGGTGGCCATCACTTTTTAAAGAGCCCCTCCCGAGAGCCAGAATGACCTCTTGCATGTGATGTCCGAGCAGCGTTGCCGCTCGGACATCACACGCGAGAGGTGGAATTTGCCCCTACGAGTCCAAGGCCACCACCCCGGGGCTCAGGGAGGCAGGAGAACATTTCAGGCAAGGGAACGTTTCGCCCTGCCCCTCCCCCCACGGGTGTCGCAGCTGCCGCCGAGAACAGCGACGGCGCCCATAACTTTTTTAAGAGCTCCTCTGGAGAGCTGGGGGAGCCAGAATGACCTCTCACGTGTGATGTCTGAGCGGCATCACACGCGAGAGGTGGAATTTGCCCCTACGAGTCCAAGGCCACCACCCCGGGGCTCAGGGAGGCAGGAGAACAATTCGCCTCAACACTCTCCCCTACGCGGGCGTCGCAGCTGCCGCTGAGAACAGCGATGGCGGCCATAACTTTTTTAAGGAGCCCCGAAGAAGAGCTGGGGGAGCCAGAATGACCTCTTGCGCGAGAGGTGGGATTTGCCCCTACGAGTCCAAGGCCACCACCCCGGGGCTCAGGGAGGCGGGGGAACATTTCCCCCCCACACACCGTGTCCCAACTGATGGCTGGTGGGAGCAGGGGACGGGGCTTATGTGCCCGTCCCCTGGGCTTCTGACTGGCAGAGCGGTGCTCCGGTGGGCTCCGGCAGGAACCGAGGCCTGCTTATTAGAATGATACCGGATACCTTCATCTTTCTCCCGCCCCAAAGATAGGACTAGCTAAAGCTGTTTTCAGTCCTTTCCCCCTCTATTTCTGTGTACATGTGAAAAACAGAAATGCAGATTTCCAATGTGTAAAAAATAGGAAATTTGAAATTTCACATGCAGGTTTACAAAGCTTCTAAACTAATGGAACTGAGCCATTTCTGAATCAAAATTATTTATTTACTGCATTTATAGTCTGCCTTCCTCACTGAGACTCAAAGCAGATTACCCACTGTAAATTGGTAACAGTCCATTTGAAGAGACATCCAGCAATCACAGTGTAGGTTGATGCAATCAGTATGAAGAGACATCAAAGAAGCAACTGAGTGAACGCAGCAGGTTTTGTGCTTTAACTCCCGATTTAAAAGGATTTGCTTAGGGGGGAAAATCCCCACGATTTCTGATTAGTCAATCATCTATACACACACACACACACAAATAACAACTTGGTAAGACTAAAGTTCTACAGATTATTTTTAAAAATGCACGAAATTAAACATTTTTTATTCTAGGAGTCCAGGGCAGTGTACATGAAGGCTTATCCTCACAACAACCCTGAGGAGGTGGTGGACAGAAAAGCATCTGCCTGACCACTTTGAACTTGAGCCGTCCTACGGCATTCTAACCACTAAGCCACGCGGATATGTGGGTACAGTCCATATTCATACATATTACACTGGAGTTATCAGCATAACAGACAATGCGAGCCATAGAAATGCAAGGCTAGACCGGCATGAGTCATGACCCCGTCCGTCTGTAAAACTGAGGCCAATAATAGCTTCCAGTTTAATACCAGAAATTCAGTCTGCGTGTCCTCATAGAAACAGGGGAAATAATAAATCTGAACTTGCCGCAATAATTTAAAAACACTATTGGAATTTCTGTTGCTCTGCATTGGATGTAAGAGCCGAAAACCAATGCAGTGCGACTCCTTTCTTTTGTAACGTTGTTTGATCTCTATGATCCGCCTGCAACTGTCGTGAAACGTGAGCTGCGCGCTTTACGACACGCTCCTGTCTTTGGCGTTGAGGGAAGTGGGCTGCGTTGCGCGTGCGTCAGGCAGAGCGTGAGCGGCGCCGGTTGTAGAGGTCATCAGAGGTGGCCGGCGCGGGTCTCTTTGGAAGTCCACGTGGGGGGGAGGAGAAGAGTGTTGTTTTCGGTGAGTGTAGTTGTAGGGTTTGGGGGGTTTTGTGGTTGGGGTGTGCTTTTTTGGCGTGAGGCCGGCGGCGTGGACAGGAGAATGTTTAGTGCCTGGTGGTCGCTTAGAAGGAACACCCAGTCGGGTTTATGGGACTTTCGCCAAGATACGTGGGTGTAGGATTGCAGTCGTAGGATATTTCCTTTGGAGTTGAGTGGGATTTATCTCTGAGTTAAAAATACATCACAATTCTGTGTGTTCTTACTTCGAAGTAAGTAGGGCTGCGTGGGTCTTACTCTCAACTAAGTGTGTGCATGATTGCTGCCTTTTCTATTTGCAGCGCTTGGGTGAAGATACCTCTCTCTAGGAAAAACGTCCTCTGATCAAATGTTAGAGGCACAAGGTTTGGCTCGTGGTTGAATCTGACAGGGTCATTTTGAGAAGTGAGCTGAGACAAAATACTGGGACTTCCTAATAATAACCTTCTCGCGTATTTAGGACTCTTTTCATACTAGGGTTGCCAGGTCTGGGTTGGATAATACCTGGATACTTTGGGGGTGGATCAGTAGGGTACAGTGTCATAGAGTTCACCCTTCAAAGCAGCCAGTTTCTCCAGGGGAGTTGATCTCTGTCAGCTAGGGATCAGTTGTAAAAGTGGAAGATCTCCAGGCCCCACCTGGAGACTGCCAACCCTATTTCACACATGATCTCTAAAAGCACTTTCTGTGCACAATTGAAGCTTGTTTGTGATCTGTGTGCAAACTGCATGCCAGATGAAGATAGATTCAGGTGGGCAGCCATGTTGGTTTAAAACAATAGAACAAAGTTTGAGTCCACTGGCACCTTTGAAATGAACAAAGTTTAATTCTAGGTATAAGCTTTTTGTGTGCATGCACAGTATCTGAAGAAGTATGCATGCACATGAAAGCTTATACCCAGAATTGAACTTTGTTCGTCTTAAAAGTCCCACTGGACTCAAACTTTGTTCTACTACCTGCCAGGGTTAGAGTAATACCCTAAGGGTAAGAAGTGCTGTGAATGAGGTAGCGGGCAGGAGGAAGTAATGCCTGATGTTTCAGGCATTATGGATTTTGTTGTGATCTCACATGAAAAGCAGTGATATTAAACATTTTAAAATACTTTTTGTGCTAAGGTTTTATCTCTGTATTGATAAGTAGTCGCTTTCTCCTTGAATTCATCTCCTTTTGCTACTGTGAATTAAACAGCATTATGTTGTATAACTGAATAGAAAAGCAGGAATAATTTTTTTTTGCCATGCTTCTTAGCCTCATGGTAGTCTTTGTAAGTAGACTGTATTATTTATTTGCCCAATTACTATGCTTGTTTTCCAGGAAATCTGCCTGAGGTGGTTTAGAAAAAATAATAAAACCTAAGAATGTAAAAGGTTAGGTTATTAAACCTCAGCATTCAAAACTAGTAAGAGCATAAAACCTAGATCAGCTTAGAAAGGATCTTAAAACACTTCTTAGGCTAAAAATCTACTATATTATGCTGTTGGTAGTGGAGGGACAGGCAAGCCTCGAGGGGAAAGAGTGAGTACCACAACTGAAAGAAGCCCTCTGTCTGTTCACCACCTGTCTTTGTGGTTTGCAGGCAAGTCCTTGGTCCCAAATAAACACTGTGCTAGATCCATTTCCTGCCTTCTGGCGTAGTACATGAAGAAATGGATCTAGCATAGTGTTTACATGGGACCAAGGAATTTTGCCTGCAAACTGCAAGTTAAGGTATTAAACCTTAGCCTTTACACATCTGCCTCTCTCCAGGTATTCAGAATGTATATTGGGAGATAAATTATCCTATTTTAACCATAGATTTGGGTGGGTAGCCATGTTGGTCTGAAGCATTAGAACAAAGTTTGAGTCCAGTTTAATTTTTAAGACCAGCAAAGTAAAAAAAAAAAGCCCCCCCCCCCCCCATAACAGTAGCAACAAATCTTGGGACAGACATAGTTTTCCAGTATGGTGCCAGCCACTTTGTTTAAAAAAAAATATTATGCCTACGGTACATGTAGCAGATTACTACAAAATACAAGAAAAATGCTTAACAAAGAAACAACAATAATTCATAACAAGAAAGAAAAAAGCAGCTGTGATTTTCCCAATCATGATTTACAAATCATCATCAAACATTTTGAGTAATTAATTAATCAAAAACTTGGTAGGTTAGGTCCAGTGACTCATCCATTGAGTCTTTTTTGTGATGTAAAATTTCCAGAAATTTTAAAGGAAAAAAATGGAAATTGGGGAGAAAATTGAAATATAGTTAATACATACCATCCTATCAAACCTAAACTAACTTTAGTACTTTAACAACATAAAATGTATGATTTATAATGTAGCTTATAAAATTAAAATATTCAACATATTTATGGAACTTAGAAATTATAAATGCCTTAGTTTTGTATAAGCAAAACTGCAAATAATACCCAGTACTAGGGTTGCCAGGTCTCTTACCTGTTTGCAGCAGTGGGAAAAGTTCCCGGTCCAGGACTTTTTATGCGTGTGCACTGCAGTGATGTCACCCAGAAGTGATGTCATCATGCTAGACACGTCACCAGGTGACGTTGTAGCATTCAGCCTGAAAACTCTATGTTATCATATGATAACATGTTATCATAGAGTTTTCAGGCTGAATGCTAGAGCATCCCCCCCGCGATGTGCCCGGTGCGATGACATCACCTCCAGGTGATGTCATAATGCCGGGCATATTGACCCCATGCAGGCACTTTGGGGACAGGGTTCTCCCCCTGGCCGGATCCAGGCAAACAGGTCGGGGGGCCCTAGAGCGGGCAAACACCCCCCCCCCAGTACTTGAAGATGCAAGCTGCTGGACCTTATGCTGTCTTAGCACATGTACCTTAATTTTTGTTATCTGGTTAGAGAGCTAAGTTCTCAATGAAACTTTTTTCCCCTCTGAGGCGTTGGTGCAGTTTCTGTCCCACCTTTTTCTTATCTTTTTTCTCCTCCGCCAAGGTAGGGCAATAAGCTACTTTTTACTAGTCTGTAGGTAACAGTGTTACAGTGGTTTGAGGGAAAGGTGAGAAGGTCAGCCATGTGATGTCAGAAGGACAACAGAAGGCATGCAACTGTTGGGAAGCAATGAGAGCCCTGCATGCTCCCTTTATGAAGATTCAGTATCTTAGGTACAGAAATGTATCTTGGATTTAAGAGCTGTCTATGTCTACAGTATTCTCATCTTATCCTTAAAAGTTTTTCACTCATTTTAAAAGAAAAAAAGTATTTAATTGGTGTTTTCCCAGTACTTTCCAGTTTTCCCATCAGAATAATAAAAAAGGGGCCTTAGGAAAAAAGGGGGGGGAGTCCCCCCTCTCATTTTTCCCTGGGCCTTCACATCTCTAGCCTTTCTTCAACAAAGCAATACTTCAGAAAATATCATTCAGTGTTGGAGGAAGCCTTTTTCCCTTGAAGGAAAACTTACCAGAAGAGTGCCATAGGATCTAATCCAGTGTTATGTGCCTGATTTGTTTCTGAATGTAAGATGTTGAACTGTTTCTGTGGTTTAAATAAGCCCCAGGATGTTACTCCGCCATCTGATCTTATGAAGAGCCTTCAAGGTTATTGCACTTTAGAGATGTAACATTTCCAGAAATTTTGAAACTGTGTTAAAACTGGAAATTTTGGCGAAAATATGAAATAGATTTTTTTAAAGAAAAAGGTTTCAGGGCGAATTTAAAGCTGTCCTTTCCTATCACATCTAAACCTGGTTTTCTGTGTTTATAAATGTATTAATTGACAGCATGATGGAATTTTAAAGGATAAATGCTGTACTTTTTGACAAGCAAAATTTTTAATTTGCCCAGTATTAAAGGCAGCGAGAACTGCAGTGCAGACTGCTACTCTTTAAGCTGTTTTAACCCATTTTACTACTTTTGGTATGGGGGGACCTTTCTTAGGAGATTATTTCTTCAGAGCTCCCAAAATTTCCCAGTTTTTGCCTGAGGGGAGGACCCTTTAGACTTCTTAACACTATACGTTTTGTGTGAATAAAACCATGTATTAAAAACCATTTCAACTCATCAGATGCAATTTTTTCAGTGCTGCCTAGAACTTCTCAGTTTTTCAATTAAAAAAAATGGGTTATCACCAGGCTTTCACATCTCTACTCTAATACCTTTTTCAGTCTTTGGTGTATTGACTGTCACTAGTATATGGTGTGAAGCAAGTTCCAGACAGTTGTTGAGAAGGCCAGAAGGTCTGTTACTTCCAATTAACACTTTCTGTATTCAACAGAAGAGAAGAGATGTCATTTAGAGGAAGAGGCGGTGGTAATCGGGGTGGAGGCTTCAATCGAGGAGGTGGCTTCAACAGAGGGGGACGTGGTGGTGGAAGAGGTGGATTTGGCCGAGGAGGAGGTGGCCGAGGAGGCTTCAACAGATATGATCAAGGACCCCCAGAAAGCGTTGTCAGTAAGTTATATTAATTCTGGATGGATTTTTTTTTTTTTTAAAAAACTTACATTCTGACTGAGTGCATAGTATCAATAAATTTCTCTATTTATTTGCAGTCCTGGGAGAGTTTATGCACCCGTGTGAAGATGACATTGTTTGTAAATGTACAACTCAGGAAAACAAAGTACCTTATTTCAATGCACCAGTCTACTTAGAAAATAAAGAGCAGATTGGGAAAGTGGATGAAATATTTGGGCAGCTCAGAGACTTTGTATCCTTTAATAGCATACTTTGGAATGTTTACAGAAGAACTTACTTTACATTGTTCCTATCTCTGTTCTGCATTTGTTTTTCAAGAAGGAAAACCCAGAGTGGTTTTCACTACAGTAACATCTAAAAGGGAGCTGAGCTCTGTAGACGTTAAAGGGGCCTTGCAGTTTCTTTCTCTCCTACAGGATAAGCTGGCTAGTGGTCAGTATTTATTTATGGTAGTTCAGTTACCCTTTGCTTTACACAGTTGTACTTGATTTTAAAGTCGGGCACTGATTTTTTTAATGTTTTGAATTTCTGAGCTTTATTTTTTTCTGTCTTCTTACTTGTGAAAGAGCTGCATTGATTGTCCTAACTTGGACAATGAGAACACTTTAGATGGGTTGGGGGGTATCTTGAGCCCATCCTAATGTTATTTATGAGATTCATTTGGTTGAATTCTGGCTCTTGTCCATGGGAATCCATATTCAGGGACCAATACCCAATGCTTGTCCTTTGGAAGTTGAGCTGGTATCTGGACAGTTGACGAATAGGAAAGATGATTGTAGATTCCAAAGGCCATCCTTTGGTGGCACAGTGTTCGGGAAAAGAAAAGGTTAAATGAGTAAGTAGAGGTTCAGGCAACAGCATTTAATTCTGATGATCACATTTGTTTGTAAACTCAATACTCCATAGTACTATTCTAAACCATTTCTAAGCTAATTCAGTCAAGTACAAGCATGTGGCTGTTTGTTACTATTATCAATGGCAGATGGAGCTACTTATCAGCAGAGGTGTGAGGTTGGATCCTCCTGGCTCTTGTACTGGGGCACGAGGGAGAACAAAGAATCTTTTCTGATCCCTTGCTCACTGCAGCCACATGCTGTGTGGCTTTTGACCACATCTCCCAGTATAGCTAGCCCTTTCAGAAGCCCAAAGGGACCACTCCTCTCTCTCACATCAGCAGAAAAGACTGCTGATCACGTATGGCAGACAGTTTCTATGTAGCTCATCCTCAGTGCAGCAAAAGTCAAGGTTGATCAGGAGCAAATAAACAGACTTCTAATGACAGCATCTTTCATAAGGTAGCTCCTTTTGAATACTTGTTTTGTATGTTCAAGTGTTCAAGTGATGTCCTGCTTGATTGGCTAAAGCTCAGTTTTCTGATAGAACTTCCAGGCCATTTAGTGGAGGAACTTCTTAATCTTATTGTCACTGGGGATTTTGGCTTAAACCCTTTGTACACTTTCTGGGGACCTTCATGGTCAGCTTGAAAGGACAGCTTATCATGGTCTCTTGACTGTGATCTAGCTCTTCCTCTATGAGCTGAGGGGGATTTGGTTTGAATGACTTCGCAGAGAAAATCGATTGGCTCCAGTTGGATTTGGAAAGTCTCTTAAGGATTAGGCGAGAAGTATTTCCAACCTAGTGGAATATCATTACCAAATAAAAATTGGAGTTTAAGTGGGTTCTGCAGCTTAGTGCTTTCTCAGATAGGGTTTCTCAAGTGCAACTGTGTTTTGTTACACTAAATGCTTCTAAAGGGCAGCTGTTCCCGTGGTGGCGATTGTTGCGATTATGTTTTATGATACGACTACACCTTTTCTGTATTAATCTTTAAGAACTGAGACCTACTGGCTGAGGATACTAATCCTGCCTGAAATGTAAACTGAAAAAATATTATGGAATAAACGTTCCTCTACAGAAACTCTGAGGTTTTCTAATATAAATATTAAAAAACAGTCACATAACTTACACATTGCATAAACAAAGCTACTGTTCTGTTTATCAAGGGTGTTATAAATGCTTGTGATATAATCCTTAAATTTCTAACAGTATTTTTCAGTCAAGTTGTCAGAAAATATGAAAGCATCTTCCTTCAAAAAGCTACAAAAGGTGAGTGCATCTCTTCCTATGAGAAGTTTAGCAAGCAAACTAATATGCATGCACTAAATACATGCATATGGCATTAAATCAGTGCACTGTGTACAGTACAGTTGAAATCAGTCTCAGACTATATGTTACAAGAATTTATGACTGAATCTTCCAGTGTGCCATTTGCAATAGGGTTGGTTGGGATCATGGCTGTGAGGCAGGGCAGAGGGTGTTAGGTTTTCCCCCAACACACACACATGGTTTCCTTAACAGAAATATTCCCCGTTCCCCTGGCTAGTATTAGTATGGTAGAGGGAAAAGACAGGTACAGTGTGGATTCTTGTTTTTGTTGTTGTTGTTTTAATTTCCCCATCCAGGGTAAATAGCAACTGGAAAGGGAAGTATGGGGATGACTTCTCCTGAAGACACAGCATGGGGGGGGGGAAGTTACCTTTTCTCTTGGCCCCTCTCTCTCTCACACATATATACACACTATCCATGTTGCTTTTACATTTTAAGTCACATGTTAGCAAACCTTGTGAAGGATCTCCAACCTAAATCAAGTTAGTCACCTTAGTTTGTTCCACTGGAGCTTAGATATGACTGTCTTTTTAGTTGGATCAAGGTAACTGTAGCATTGTGAAGGGCACCTTCATTCCAGACATGGATATGAAATATGGAATATGCTGGTTTAAGTTGTTTTATGTATGGCAATGTAAAAAGGGGGGAGAGTTGACAAAGCTTGAACTCCGGCTCTTTTGCTTACAGTTCTTTATCGATCCAGCAAAATTGCTCCCACTGCAAAGGTTTTTGCCAAGGCCTCCTGGTGAGAAAGGACCTCCAAGAGGAAGAGGAAGAGGAGGGCGTGGAGGAGGGAGAGGTGGCTTCAGAGGTGGAGGTGGCAGAGGTGGAGGTAGGATGCATTCTTTATTGCAGTGTGTTCAGAGGCATATTGTGAATTAAGGGAGATTGTTTCTGGGAAGGTGGAATGGCCAGTTCTGAAAGCAAGAAGGTTTTGGAGACTGCAAATATTTCTCTCTTTAGTTCTGTATAGCTTTTTTACCTGTTTGCTGCCCATAAAATCTAAACTGTCTACCTATTTGTGTGTCTGCAGGTGGTTTCCGAGGCGGCAGAGGTGGCGGTGGTGACTTCAGAGGTGGCAGAGGTGGCGGTGGTGGGTTCAGAGGCGGACGAGGTGGAGGTGGTGGCCGTGGATTTAGAGGTAAGGGTATTTGTATAGATACACGTTCAAGTTAGTGATGCTGAATCCAAGATGAAATTGGCTAATGTCACCCTTTAAAAAAATTTTGAGCAGTGTCACATCCACAGCAGGCATACTAAGCAGTGTTCTGGCTTTTGATACTGTAGAGAATGGTTTTCAGACTGTGTTCCAAGTGTCAAAAGATAGTCTTCTTTAAAACACTGCTTGTCAGCTAGCTCTGATCTCCTGCAGTCTGCAGCCACAGGTGAGTGCTGTGTACTCCGTCATGTGCCATGTTCCTCGCAAGCAGCAGTAAGCATCAGAGCCTGGTTGGTGACCTGGGCATGAATGTGTATCGAAGAACATTCTCCAAAGTGCTCAGGCTTTTTATTTGGCAGATACATCAGTACTCCTCAGCAGTCAAGTCTGTGGAAAAGGTTCCTTGATAGTAGATGGTTTGATGAGTAGTATAGTAGAGTGCCCAGCTCAAATTATTTTACTGTTTCAACATCTCTAGTGGAAATAGTAGAGAGACTGAAGGTACTGCTGCTGCAGCCGTCTTTTTATCATAAGAGCTACTGCATTCTTTCCAAGAAGTGGTTGTAAAGGATGTAATTTGTTCTTTTGTCTTTCAAATTAGGTAGAGGACGTTAAATGACAATCTGGAAAACTCTACACATCTGGCCTCATCTACAGGATGCCTTGAGATGATTTCTTGTAAATCTGAATGCTGTAAGACACGGGTTTTGCAGCATGCCAGTTGACTAAAGGAATAAAGTGCTGTCTTACCTCTGGCTCATGGATGACTATTAAGAGAGGACAGTTTTTGAAGTACTGTAAAGATCTTACAATTCTGACCTTGAAATATATTTGGACTTCTTATTTTTATCAGATGTGAAATGGAATGTTATTTTTTAAAAATGAAAAATGTTTTTATTGAAAACTTCAGAAGAGGGAAACGACATGAAATAGCTTGCAGGTTTGAAATACCATGGACCAATGCTTTGTATTTCCCTCCCCCTTTCCCCAAAACTCAGTGTCTCTTTTTTTTTGGTCAGTCTTAAAGTATTTGTCAAGACAACTTGAATGCTATTTCACAATTATATTTATAACATTCCTAAATGTCATTTTTGAAGTTTCTTTTATACTAGGGTTGAACTCAAATTACATTTCTTGGGAAGTTATGTATGTTTTTCCCATGTCTAATTTTCTAGGCTCATATGGTGATGACTCATATACAATCAATGTGCAGTTAAGTGGTGTTTTAATCCTGCACCAATGCTGTAAGAGAGTGTGGGCTAAGAAATCATGCTGTGCTTATGGGTTCCCAGTAAGCATTACAGGCAGTGCAAAATTTTTACTTGTGCTCAAGCTCTTGCATAAGTGGAAACACAAGAAAAAGACCACATAGTTGCTTGCGCTGAGTCCAACATATTTTATCTCCATTTGTATTTCCACTTTTGCAAGTGCAATCAGTTTCTGGGCACTGTAATATATAGGAAGGAAAACACTAGTATCTAGTGCAAGTGGAACTGTATAGGTTTGTGTTTCTGCTTATGCATCGCTGGATCCAAGTCTGCATTTGATAGGAGGTTGACCTTGAGTTGACTTCGTCTATGCAGTATTTTTGCTGGTTCACAATACAAATTGCAGATAGCATATACTATTGGCGAGTTCACAGATGCAAGCCATACACGTGTGTGCAATAGATATACTTTTTCACATGGCAATCTTGAGACAGCCCACAGTGTTTCTCATTATTATGGCTGTTTAAAACAGGTCATCTGTGACCACAGAAATTGCTGTGACCTGTCTCGGGCTTCAGTCCTAGGCACACTACTTGGAAGTAAGAGTGATTGAACTTTGTGGGACTCACTTTTGAGTAAATCTACTCGAGGTGAGATGGCTGGTGTGCTAACATTTCTCTACATGGTCATTCCTCTTCACTACCTGGCTGTATAATATAAAAGAGACTTGCATAAGTGAGGCATCCTAAACGCTAGTGAAAATAATATGCCATGTTTTTCTGTATTTGGTTGTGTCTGTGCAAACTCTGGTGGGCTGAGAATTGCCCAAGGATGGAGGAGGGGGATTTGGGTTTGTGCAAAACTTTCTGCGGACCCTGTCGTTACCTTTTTGGCACTGCACCCCCCCCCCCCCCCATTTACAATCTTAAGAGGTTTCTAATTATCCTAGAGCTTGCTCAGTACTTCTTTTGCTCAGTACTTTTCCTTGAACAGGTGCTTTAAAGATATTTCCAGTTGGGATTTCAGATTATGATGTGGATTTGCAGAGCTTTCTGTATGAATAACGTTGACAAAGTGACATTTGAAATGAAGCTGCATTTAAAACTGAAGGTCTGTGATCAGCACTGGGCCACTCTGTTGATGGCTTAATTTCCCCCCCACTTACCTGATTTGTAGTGCAAATCCCCCTGCCTGGGAGTGGGGCGTGGGATGGACAAGTAGTGTATAGAGTATACATGTTTGTTGTTCCCCTGCAGGAGAAATAGCGTCTGTAGCATTAAGGGAGTGTGGGGGGAAAGGGGTTGTTTTTGCCCTTTACTCTTAGATTTTGACCTGTGTCTTATTTTTAAAAGGGCTGAGGGGATTGACTCTCTATTGTGAGCATCTTGGGCCATTTTTACAATTCTGAACAAAGCCCAAATCCAATCCTTGCTCATTTTTGGCAACATTTGTTTTTTTTTGGGGGGGGATCAGTTGCAGTACAAACTGGCGACTTTGCATCTGCTAATCTCTTTAGTAATAATGCCATAGCTCATAAGCATCTTGTCAAAAAAACAACATGGCTCTGTGCTGGTCTTTGTTGAACTAACGAGCCTTTGCCTTTCATAGGCTGGGAATTTAAACCCCTTTGCTCTTTAGCCTAAATCCTGTTGGGGGCCTTTCAGTGTGGAAGAACTGCTCCAGTTTTGCCAGGGGGAAGGAATTCATCTGAAAAGCCTTGCTGTGTTCTTTGAATGGCCTCTTGCAAGATTGATCTGGAGGGGAAGTCCCAACTTTCTTTTCCCTGCAATGTTTCTGAACGATTCTGCTAACTCTTCAGAAAGCGAACATGAACCTCATTCAGCTTTTACTCAGACTGAGCACAGCATAGTTGCGGCTTATTTGATAACAGCAGGTATGAACGTTTTAATGGGATTTAGGACTTGGATTGAAGCTTCTGTGTTAATGTCAGTGCAGTCCTCCCCGTGAAAAACCTGTCAGAATTGTTTTTCCTCTGTTTTTATAAGATTGAAGAAATATGTATGAAGTTGCAAAATATAAAGCTGTAAACTTTAATGATGAATTTGTTAACTGCTGAAAGAAATGTTGCCGGATATTCAGAAGAACCAAAAAGATTTTTTAGGGATGTGACACCATATAAATGGTTGAAACTGGCTTAGGCCCACCTTCTGAAGTTAGGTTGCTCGAAGAAGCAGTTTGTTGGATGAACAAAGTTCTCAGCCATACTCATACTGACCTAGGTGGTCCTTAAAGTACCCTGGTCCCAGACCATTTAGGAATTTAAATGCAATAATCAGAATTTTAAGTTTTCCAGAAATGAATAGGTAACCAGTGTTGTTCTTTTAATACCAGAGGTACGTTCTTGAAAGTTCATACCTCTTGGCAGTCTAGTTACAACGTTGTAAAGTTTCTGAACAGTCCTCAAAAGAGCCCCCTGTAGAGCACATTGCAGTAGTCCAGTCTAGATATGACCAGAGCCTTGGAGAATAGGTCAAATTCTGTCCATCAGGTTACAGCTGCAGATGCGCACACAAACATACCTCAAGCTGGCCAAGGGTGTTATGTATTACAGAATATGTGAAATTTCATCTATCGGTGCGCCTAGATTATGAACCTGCTCCTTCCAGGGGACTATTAACCCTTCCCAGAACAGGCTGTCCTCTTTGGTATAGGATAGGACCCGCTGTTGGATACATGCTTATAAACTGAACCATTTGTAAGAAAAATGAAACTCTGTGAGAAATAGAACTTCCTGCTAAATTTGCTTCAATCTTTATTGTGTTAGGTGTGAACGCTTCAAAGAAAGTAATGTTTTCCCACAAAACTGCAGGGCAGAATCTCCTTGTTGATGTTAACATACATTAATGATATATTTGAATTCTAATTGCCCAAGTATTAACACAGGCTCTGATACCAATTTTTCAATATTGTTAACTTACAAGGTAAAATAATGGTCTTTGATAGCCAGCGTATGGGACTAGGCTTGGAAAGACCAAGGTTCAAGTTTACATGCACCATGAAATGTAAAAGATGGCCCTAGGCCAGTCATTCTTTTTTACCCTAACCTACCTCACAGGGTTGCTGTGAAATGAAATGAAGGGACAACTGAGCAGCCGAGGAGGCTGGTGGAATACTAATGCAGTAAATTTGTACATAGATTATTGGTCAGTGAATTTGATCTGTATGAAAGAAATCTTCATAAATGGCATTAGACTTCAGACCAGACTGATAACAGTGATATTTTCTAAATAAAAGCATTCAGTATTAAATGCTCCCCTGCCCTTTGCTTTCTCTTGACAGGAGTCATAAGCCTTCTCAGCAACATTATCGTATTGGGCATCTTTGTTAAATACAGGGAACTTCGGACAGCAACCAATGCCATTATTATCAACCTGGCTTTTACTGACATTGGAGTGAGTGGGATTGGTTATCCCATGTCAGCAGCTTCAGATCTGCATGGTAGCTGGAAATTTGGCTATGCAGGCTGCCAGGTACTGGGACATTAGAAACCACGAGTCACAGCATGCTCCTGTTAAGTTGTGAAACACATGGGGAGACGGTAGGCCAGTGGGTCACTTTCAGCCTGGGCTTCCTCACGGGGCTGTGGTGAGAATCAAATAAAGTAGAGGAGAACCATATATACCACCCTGAGCTCCTTAGAGGAGTGGTGAGAGAAAAATATGAATGATGCTAGGAGGTACACGTCAAACTCTTTGAATGATTAGAACACAGTAGAGGTACAATTAATAATGTGTGGGTCAACATTCTTCCAGAGCATAAGGATAACACACATGGGTTTCTTGTCTGTGTTTAGCCAGCAATAAAGGAAGCATGCACCTAAATGGAATAATTGCCTCTCAGTAAATTAATGCTGAGAGCTAGTCTTACCACTAGATGGCTGCCTAGGGTAGCATTCTTACTGCAGGGAAATGCAGAAAGGATTTTCGCTTCCCCACACTGCCTTGTACATCCAGTTGTGAGGGTTAATAGGGGTGAAATATGGCCAGAGGCCCCGAGGCTGCCAGAAAAGGGGTTAGACTGGAGCTTATGGCTAACAGTGTTAGGGGGAGAGGGGAATTAAGGAATCAGAATTTGATGAGAAGTATAGAGTAGGAGGTCACCCAGAAGGAAACTGAATGATACAGCTATGGGCTACAGAGGGGAAGGGAGAGAGCGATGGCAAAGATGGGCCTGGGACATAGGTGAGGAAGGAGACAATAAAGGCAAAGAAAGTCCAGGCAAGAAAGCTGCTTGGCTCCTGAACTCTTGGATCTGACTGAGTTGGGGGAACATTTTGCGTAGGATGGCAAAAGAAGTACCCTGATCAGGAATAGAAATGGCACCTTGGCAACTATGTTCTTGATGAAATTTACCTCATAAACTCAGTGATGGTAAAGGTTTACAGACTAGTTGGAAATATACTGATCTTGGAACAGACATCTGGAGATAGCAGTATTTGCTTTGTAACAGAAAAGGTAGCAGAATTCCAAATCTTCAGAAATAATACCACTGATGGCTTAAAATCATATTACTGTCTTCTCAAATTTCAGATCTATGCTGCATTAAATATCTTTTTCGGAATGGCAAGTATTGGTTTGCTTACTGTGGTAGCAATTGATCGCTACCTGACAATCTGCAAGCCTCATATAGGTACTGTATTCCTTTTTCTTGCACAGAAATGCATTTGTTTCATTTACAAAACCTAACAGAAATTTAGATGATTTCTTCTCAATTAAAGCCATTACTGGCTTTTGCATATCCTCTGACTTTGCATCTTGCTTGTATATAGTGGGAGGAGCTGCGGTGGCTCAAGTGGTTAAAATGCTGAACTGCAGGCTGTGGAAGGTCAATAGTTCAGCAGTTCGAGACCCAGGGTGCCGCATGACGGAGTGAGCTCCCATCTCTAGTTCCAGCTCCTGCCAACCTAGCAGTTCAAAAGCAAGAAATTGCAAGTAGATAAATAGATACTGCTTCGGTGGGAAGGTAACAGCGTTCCGTGCGCCTTGGTGTTTAGTCATGCCGGCCACATGACCACGGAAACGTCTTCGGACAGCGCTGGCTCTTTGGCTTTGAAACGGAGATGAGCACCGCAACCCTAGAGTCGGATTTGACTGGTTTTTGAGCAAGGGAACCTTTACCTTTACCTTTGTATATAGTGACATTAGTCACCCAAGAATTCGTCTTTTATGTTGTCTTTTTAAAGGGGTCATTGTTTGGTGTTTGTTGTCTG